CGGGGCCCTTCCCAGCCCCCCCGCTGGTCTCCGTCCGTCCTTCCGGTGGGCAAATGCCCGAGCATGATGGGCTCCCGGCGGAGGCCCCTGGGCCGCTCCTATTCGGGCAACGGGCCTTTCTCCGCGTACAGCCCCGGGCCGGGGAGCGACGGCGAGGACAACGGGCCCCTGGGGGAGCACCGGCCCGAAAGGCGCAACTACCTGCTCAGCGTCCGCCCGGAGAACAGGTAGGGCCGGCGCCCGCGGGGAGATGCGGGTGGCGTGGCAAGGCGGGGAGGGTGGTGGTGGTGGTGGTCCGGGTGGGGGAGATAAGGGCTGGGAAATGCGGGCGGGGGGGGGGGGAAAGAGAGAAACGGGACGGTCCAGCCCCCCTCCCCAATCCTCCGAGAATTCACCCCACGCTTTTGCAGCCCGGTCGGAATAGCTCCGGTCTCGGGCGGGCGAGTCCCCGTCGTGCGCGCCCCGTCGTGCGCTCCTCTCGAGTCGCTTTTTTCCTCCGGACGCCCTCGTTGTGTAAGCGGTTGGAGAGCTCTTTGATTGGCAGCAGGAGGGCGAGGGCCAGCCAAATTCCTCCTGGCCGCGGCGTGAGCTTACGGAATTCACCGCCACGAGATCCTGTGTAATGAATGTTAAGAGCTCAGGGCTTCGTTGGAGTCGCTTAAAAACTAACGGGCAAACTCCAGGAGGAGAAATTCATAGATGGCCTAGGGACTTCAGTGGTGCCTCCAGGTTCAGAGGCAGTCTATCAGAGAGTACCAGGAACTGGTGGGGCATTCTTTTAGAAAGGGTTGCATTCCTGCTGGTGGGTTTCTCAAGGACATTTGGTTGACCATGGCTTGAACAAGAGTACTGGATCAGTCTGGGTCCCCCCCCCCTCTGAATCAGGGTTTTATGCTATGCATTGCCTGTATTCTTAATTATTATATCTTGCCAGGGTGGACCTCAAGGCAGTGTACATGGTTCCCCTACGCCTCCTTTATCCTCACCACACACCTCTCTAGGTAGTGTATAGGTAGTGTATAGATGCCAAAATAGACAAACACGGCTACCTCTTTGAAACTTACAGGCTAAGAAAGAAAATTACTTAATAGGCTTCCTGACTCAGTGAGTTCTGGACTAAGACTTCAACAGCTGCATCTTGTTGGTTCCCATGTTCTTAGGAAACTCTGCTTCAGCTGTCTGAATGGGGCTTCCTCCTGGAACCAGCTTTCAGTCCTAGATCTTGGCCCTAAACATGGAAAATACTGTACAGGAAGACATGGCTTTTACAGCATTGTTAGAATGCCTTTGATCTTTCTGTTTTCAAGTAATCAGAAATAGATCCTATACAGATCTGGGATGCAGGGAGACGATTTAGAGATCAGAGGAACCCCATAAATTCCATGCGGCCTAGAATCCATTTTAGGCAGAGCTCAGGGAAAAGGCCAGTGATGGGTGGTGAGATAATACATTCCTGGGCTTTAGAATGACGAAATGGTAGGCTTTTTCAGGAAAATAATAGGTTTTAGCTCATTACAGTTGTCATCTTAAGAGGTCTTTCTTGTTTTTGATGGTAGGAAGAAAACTTGCAGGAAAGGAATGGAAGGCAGTCTTGAGGCTTACTGGGAATAGGAAGAAGAAAAAAAACATTTTCTGCTGCCTGGAAGAAAGAGATGGAGCCATGGTATCAGGCCAAGGCTGACAGGTGTGAAGGGATGATTCTTGTCTGAAAAGTCTGCATTGACATCATCCCAGATGTCTTCTGGCCATTAAACATTTGGGGGAAAGTAGGCTCTTTTGGATTACAATTCCCAGAATCCCCCAACCAGCATGTCCATTGGGAATTTTGGGGAACTGTAGTCCAAAAAAGTGATGCTTCCAGACTGCTAGAAGCTAAAATGCCCTTTTCATCTCACGCTCCAATGAGTAAATGCAACCTTGAGACTGCTAGTTACCATAGTTGTTTTCTAGCATCTCCTGAGGCTGTTCTGGAACTTCCAGGAACACAGAATTCGGAGCTGGACAACAGCCACAATTGCTTATATCCGTTTCTCCTTGAAAAACAATGCTCGCCAATCAGGGTTTGTGATTGTGGCACAACACACATTTCTTGGGAATGTGTGCTGTGCCTCTGCCTGGAGGAGTTAGTTCTTGGAAAGCCTGTTGAAGACAAACGTAGAGACACTTTGGCCTTCAAGAAGTTTTGGCCAAAGTTAAAAGATCATGGGAACAGTAGTCCAGAACATAGACTCATACAATTGTAAGAGCCGGAAGGGACCCACCCCAAGGCTGTTGAGTCCAATTCTCTGCCAAAACTAGAAACTTACAGCTAAAGCACCCTCGATAGATGGCCATCCAACCTTTGCTCCAGCATTTCCAAAGATTGAGAATCTCCTTTTTCCAGAGGCAGCTCGTTCCATTGTCTGGAAGGCTGTAGTCCTGTATCGTTTTACATGGCAGTTAAGTTGCTTTGGGTGGAATTTAACTTACAAGTACTGTAAACATAAGATTGCAATGTAAGGCTTTGATCTTAAACCTGTTCACTAGGGAGCAAGTCACACTGAATTTAGAAGAACATGTCTGCATAAGCAAGCCTAGGAATATGGGGTTTACCTAAGCCATGGATTTTGACATGTATTTAGATCACAAAATCCTTGGCATCCTTTGGGGGCATGTGTTGAGCCATTCTAGGAACTGAGACATGCATCAAGAATGGGGAACATGTCAGATGCTTTTGATGAGAAATCATGAGAGTTTCAATTCAAAAGTATCTAAAGGGTCACACACTCCCTGTTCATGTTCTTTAGCTAGGATGCCAAAAGCATGATACTGCTCCCACACATATGCTGAGATGCAATGGTGGGAGACTAGAGAGCAGCTAATAACGATGGAGATCCAGAAGATCCAGATATGAAGGGACACGTGCCGTAAGTCAAACGGTCCCAAAGCCTCAGAGTAGATGGCTCTTCAGGTGGTGTTGGACTTAAAATCCCATCCATCACAGCCAGGATTGCCAGCAGTGATGGATAATGGGAGTTATAGGTTAGCACCCTCTGGATCAGCACTCTCCTCAAGAGTGGCTTTACACGTTCTTGCCCTATCTTTTTGTATGTCAGATAATGTATAATATTGATATCAGTCCAAGACAATGTAGATAGCAGAATACTGACGATTTGGATTCAGGCTGGGCCATGAGACTCATGGGAAGATACTGAGTGGATTCCTGTGTAGTCTGCCTTGCAGGGCTGTTGACAGAATAAAATAGGGAAAGAGAAAAGTGGTGTTCATGTTGCTCTATATTCATTGGAGGAAAGGGTGGAAAAAAACCATAGTCAATTCATATCTGGAACTGTTTGCTCTGCTGATTTTTTTTTAAAAAAATTGATGCAGTCATAAAACAGATTTTTTTAAAAAACTGGAAAATGTTCATGCTTAGAATTGCTTTATAGAACTACAAAAAGGGGACATTATCCCATTTCCGGAGCCTGGCAAATAGCAGGAACTCTGCCTTGCAGGGGTCTTGCCAGTTGGTACTTAGCAAAGTTTACGAATGGTCTCTCTCTTTCTCTCTTTTTTTTTGATTAAGTTCCCAGAATCCCATAGTCAGTACAGGCAACTGTCATGTTGACTGCAGAATTCTGGAAATTCTAGTAAAAAAGAGATTACAAGGCTCTTATTCCAGGTTAGTTGGACCAGTGATTTGACTTACTTTAAGTCCGCCTGCATTTCTCAAAGTGAAAAACATAAATATGTACAAATATGTGCCGGTGGTTTGCAAAACCTGGTCACACGATCCCCATGTGGTCTCCTTGCTTCAGAGACATTTCAGCCTATCATCTGATTCCTGTTTGGCAACCATGGCTGCGGAGAGGCAATACAGACTGTGATAGAGGCAACACAGTCCTGAAAATTGCTGAGTAGCTCAGTGGTAGAGACTGGGAGTTCGATTCCCCACTGTGCCTCATTGACAAAGGCTGGACTCAAATGATCCGTAGGGTTCCCTCCAGCTCTGCAGTTCTAAGATGATGGTGGTGATAGTGATGATGATGGTGATGATTTATGTAATGCAGCCTTCCCTGTCTGGTGCTCTCTGGATCTGTAGGACTAAAATTGCAAGCATCCTAATTACCACAGCCAATGACGGGCAAAGTCTGTCTCATCCTGAGGGCCATGGATTGGGAAAGACTGTTTATTACCACGTAAAAACTCAGTTTCAAGCTTGCAGTGGCATCACCAGAATATTTTTGGGTACTACGCAAAACCCAGTTTTGTCACATTCTCTGCATGAAAGAGAGGCGTTTATAGCTCAGATGCGCATCCTGACCCGGTGTAGCTTTTTATGCTTGCATTTCAGACTGACTGACCAAGTTGCTCTTTAAGTCCCATCATGTGCCACATGGTTGTGCGTCACCACTCTTGGCTTGCAGCCCTTCCATGACGGTGCTCTTTGGACTCCCCGCCATTGGCTAATTTGCTTGCAGCATCAGGAGCTGCGAATGTGGTGGCTTAGTGGCCAAGTGATCCTTTCTGAAACGTTTCAAGCTAGTTGTTTACCACAAACCTTTGCTTAGACGAAAACCTGAGTTTGCGTTGCAAGTTTGTGTTAGTTCCCCCCCCCAAGAGCTTGGGAAAATTGCCTTTTTGGACTAAAGCTTTCAAAATGCCCAGCCAGCATGCCAGCATGGCTAGTGGATATGTTAATTGGAGAATTCTGGGAGCTGTAGTCCCCAAATGTAACTTTCCTAAGCTCCGGTGTCTTTTACCCAGGCTTACTTTGTAAGCGTGACAGTAAAAACACAGCTGGTATGGGGGAGGTATCTACTTATCTGAAATATTTACAGGCCCAGCTACTTACAAATTTGAAGAATTCAAAATGCCTTTAAAGCATCCTCTGGAGCCCCTTGAGATGACTATAATTTTGGAACAGCTTATTATAATCCTCCTTTTAAACCAGACAGTTGTGTATATTGATGAGCTAACTTGTAGGAGAACATAATAGCCATATAAATTTCGTTACCTCTTTGTTTGCACTTAACTCGGCAACTGTTGCTCCTCATAATAACTTATACTGCTCCATGGATACTAGGGTTGATGTAGACAGATCATGTTTATAAGCTTGCTTGCTGTACAAATACTTTGTTCTCATAATAATTTCATAAAACATTTTATAGGTGACCCCATAACAAAGTTCTTGAGATGATTCACACAAGATTAAAGGTGGAGGGGGGGGAGTGGCAAGTGGTGAAGATTGAGAACAAGGACTGCTGGGGGGCCAAGATAGTAAGTGCCTCACCCCAAAACTTCCAACAGGCAACTCCCACCCCAGTGACAAGTTGTTTGTGCTTATGTGTCAACTCACCAAACCTGGACAAATAAATATGTTTATTTACATTCTAGATCAAACACAACAAAGATTCTTTCCTCTTCCTTTATATAGTTGAATTTTTAGTTTTTTTATTTTGGGAAAGTGGGCAGAAATATTTATAGCTTTTAATTTATTTTTGCTTGGTTTTTGAAGAGGAAATATAAATTGTATGCCCAAGGAACACAAAAACATTGATAAATGACATTCACTGATTCAGCAATGAGTTGTCCGGTTATTGCCAAAATCAGAACAGGAACTGGATCCCTGTTGTGGGAGATGTGTGTCAAAAACAAATGACCATCCATGAAACAGTTAATAATAACACTGTGTTAGTGTTATATAGAATGTGCCAGCAGCAAGAGGTGTAGAGGGTTGTGTTTTCTGGGAGTTGTAGTTCAAAAACATGGATCTACACACCTCTATCAATTACTGTTGTTGCATTTACATTGCACCTTTTCATCAAGGGATGAAACCTTTCTTGTTATCTGCAGAACAACCCCATGAGGTAGATTAAGTGGAGTGATAGTGACTAGCTGATGTTTATATTGCGAGCATCAGTGTGCCTGGAAACGTGGGGGCGGGCAAGATCAGATCCTTGTTCTTCCTGGTTCTTGGTAAATTAGAAGCATAGTCTGTTTTTTGAACAGCAAAAAGAATCAGACCAAGAAAGGAGGCCGAAGCCAGAGTTTTCTGTGGCCTGCTAGCCCTCTGTGTGTGTGCTGAATGAATTCCCATCATCCCCAAGCAGGATGGGATGATGGGAGTTGCAATGCAACACATCTGGGGAGCATGAGGTTGGGAAAGGTCTCCTTGCTGCAGCAGGTGAAACTGTAGCCGTCTGCTGGGGCACCTGATCCCTAGAACTCACCCCTCTGCCCATTTGTAATGGTGTCATTGAAGAAAACGAGGGCAGCTCCCTCCAAAGGGAGGGCCTTGGAAATTGTCTTAAGGAACAGGTTGGCAACTTGAAGCTGGTATTGTCTGAAAGGGCTCTCAAGGAGGGCTATTAGAGGAACAGAGGGGAATGGCCAGCTAAGGAAGGGCTGCGCATACCTGCTATTTATAGCCCTGTTTTCCGGAATGCTGGGCTCAGAGGGAGAGCCGCGCTCCCAAATCCTGCTGGAATTGCTCTCTGCTTTCCTTGAGCAGCGTGGTAACACCTGTGGATCAGACAGCACGGAGATCATATGACCCCACTGTGTGGCTCTCCCGCACTCCAGCTGCCAAAGGAAGGGGTGAAGTCCACATGTGTGTGTGGGCGCGTGTGCACCCACATTGCTAGGTTGCCTTCATCTTGTTGTGGGGAAGTAGAACATATATTCCCAAAGCCTGAGAAAGTTACATTATGGATTACACCTCCCATGATCTCTCAGTGGCCCTGCTGGCTGCAGGATTCTGGGTGCTCTGGTCCAGAAGGTAACTTTCCCTAAAAAGTTCTGCAGAGTCTTTCTTGCAAAACCCCAGCTACTTTGGAGGATCATTCCTGCTTTCGACCTCCTGTTGCAAAACATGCCTTAACAGTTCAGGGAAATCCGATCTTGGGAATTCTCTCTGTCTCCCGTTCACCATTTGCCCCCTGTTGTTAAGGGTTCTATTCATTCACAGCCTTTGGTTACAATTTACAGCAATGTTTGCTTACACTGGCAGGCAGCGGAAGGCAGCTGAATTATATTAATAGAATCTCTGATCTGTGCAAGAGAACTCATTACATTTGTCCTAATCACTGTTGTTTAATCACTTTCTATGCTTTCTCTCTCTCTCTCTTTTTTAAAAAAGTCCTAATTATTCTGTTTGCTGTCTCTGCTTAGCTTACCAACCAACCGATTATCTCCCTCCAACTTTGGAAGGTAAATCATACTGTATTAGTCTTGTCTGACTGTACACCACTGGGATCACGATGTCTGTACATCTGGCCTGTCATTAAGGAGTACTAATTGCACTGACTATGTTGCCATGGTGTTGCATGCTTCTTGCCTGCATTGAAAACAGTCGTTTCCTTGCTCTGTTTTAAAGTGTGTGGAATATGGGACATCTCGCTATCCAGCCGCTTCCGGGTAAACATAACGTATAGTTCGCTTTATAGGGATCTCTTGTTACAGGAAGCTGTGAGTCCCCAATGAAAATTAAAATGGCCATTGTGTCTTTCTGAGTCTGTCCCATCCAGAGTTGCATATCCCAAATTTCCTTAACCCTCTTCTTATAGTGCCTTTAGGGTGAAAGACAGAAAATTCCCTTTTGAACTATGGGTCCCATAATCCCCCAACTAGGACAAACAAACCATTCTGACAAGAGGATTCTGGACATGGCAGTCCAGAAAAATAACTTTTCAACATTCCAATAAAGAGGGAGAGAGTGGCAAAGAGTTTGGGGTTTCTTTTTTAGAGGGCAGGGATTATGGCGATTGTAATCTGAACCACTCAGAGGGATGGAGGCTCCCAACCCTCATTTAAGATGATGGTTCAGTTCCTGTTAACATGGAAGTAAAGTTCTCTACCTTTGGTCTAAGCTGTGAATAATTCAAGTCTTTAAATTGTTTTATTTTATTTAAAACATTTTACCTTGCTGTTGTCCTTAAAAGGACCCAAGGTGCCTTGTGTCATTAAAAGACAATATAAAAGACAATATAAAAGGGAATATATTAAATACTAAAAAAGATCAAACAAAACCATAAGCAACACCAAAACCACATTCAAAGAACAATCTATTTAAAAACGCCCACTCCAGGTAGCCAGTCACTGAGGGAAAGCGACACCAAAACCACATTCAAAGTAGTGAAGTAGATAAAACAATCTATTTAAAAATGCCAACTCCAGGTAGCCAGTCACTGAGGGAAAGCTTGCCTGAAGAGAAAGGTCTTCAGCTCTTGCAGAAGGACGGCAAAGGTGGGGACAGCCTGGCCTCCAGTGGGAGGGAGTTCCAGAGTCTGGGAGCAGCTGCAGAGAAGATCCTCTCCCGGGTCCCCACCAAACACACCTGCGAAGGTGGCAAGACTGAGAGCAAGGCCTCTCCTGATCATCAACACTTGAGCAGGCTCTAAAAGGGAGATGCTGTCCTTGAGCTAGCCATTCAGGGCTTTATAGGTCAGAACCAACACCTTGGATTCAGTCCAGAAATGGATCAGCAGCCAGTGGAGCTGCTGTAACAGGAGCGTTATGTGATCCCTGTATCCAGGCCTGGTCAGCAAGCTGGCTACTGCATTTTGTTAGAGTTAGAATTGCTAGGTGAGGCCCAAACCAAAGGGCACAACACTGATGCTGTATAGGAGGAGGGCAGTGGCCACTTCTTCCATCACACACTGCTTTGAGAAGGTAGTGTGCAGTGTGTGGGGTGGAGTGGGGAGAACAATTGTGCTAGCCATGGTCGTTGTGGGATTCTGGGCTTTGTAGTCCAAAATAGCAACTATCCCAAGACCTCACCCGCTAAGTGATTCTTACAAATGGAAATGTCAAGGTTTGCATTTAGGATTTACTAGAACTTGGAAAATTACTTGTAAGAAGAAGAAGGAGTGTAAAGACAAGCCATTCATAACTGAGCAGTAGTAGGGTGATGCTTTGAATCTCAGGGCATCACGTTAACCCTGCCCATTTAGAGATGGCTTTTGTACGCCATTGCATTCATTCCTCTTTCAAGTAACATTTCAAGATCTGGATCCTTCTCCATGCAATGCATCTGCACTGTTCTTTCTCTAAGGCTCTTCTCTTAAATGGGGACTTTACAATGGCTAACATTAAAATTCGACTCATAGGCTGCAGCCATTGAGGGAGTTTTTAATGCAATCTGATACATTAAATGGACTTTTGGCAATCCTAGCCACATCCCATGATCTGATCTGTGACTGTTTACTCTCCACTCATGTCTTTATATGTACACGTGTGTGTGTGAATATGTATGCTTTGATACCATGTTCTGCAGCTTAAAGTGATATCATTTTTTTTGCACATTTGAATGAATGGATTCTCATGACCACTGTTTGCACTCCACACAATTATGTGTTTGTTCTTTCACAAATTCCTGTAAGTGAATACATTCTTTGGTCACATGATCTGGACCTCATGCCATGCTTGTTTTAGCCTGCCTACCTGTGTTGGACTGGCTCCGTTCAATCAATGCACCAGTTTATCTGGATTTCTTGCTAATTTATTTTAGCACAAGCTAAGTCATGACCACTGTTTGCACTCCACACAATTATGTGTTTGTTCTTTCACAAATTCCTGTAAGTGAATACATTCTTTGGTCACATGATCTGGACCTCATGCCATGCTTGTTTTAGCCTGCCTACCTGTGTTGGACTGGCTCCGTTCAATCAATGCACCAGTTTATCTGGATTTCTTGCTAATTTATTTTAGCACAAGCTAAGCCTGCCTGCTGCTTCATGGTCCCTTCTCAAGTTTCATCCTCTTGCGTCCAGTCCTCCAAAATGATTTGAGGGCATAAAACCATTGCACAAAAAACAGTTTTGCAATCCAGTGTTATTTAAGCACAAACAAGACTCTAGGCTTCCTCAAGGAGGTGTTGTACCTGTTAGTTGGGGAGACATGTATCAATTGGATGAATGGGCTGTCACTAGGAAACTGAGAGGGTGGAACTAAAATAGAACGGAGTGCATTGAGGGTACTGACATGGATTGCCCCAAACTCCACAAACAAGTCTTCATGAATTTGCTGGTTTTTTTTAAATGTAGAATTTTGTGAAATGTCTGGGAATCTGATGCCCAGTGAGGAGTTCAAAACCCTAGAAATCTGGGTTCATCTTTTCTTCTTACAGCAAATATTTAGTTTCAAAGCTTGTCACTGGAGATATTTAAAATATTTCAGATTCCTGGCTGCTACCCTCAGGTTTCTAGTGGCTTTGGGTCCCTCCCCCCCCAAGTCTTAAAAGGCTTAATTGTAAATGAAGCAGCGCTTCTCTGGCTGGCTTGCATGAGTTCCAGACTTTTTCTTAGGGATGTAAATTAGGTTTTCTTCTTTCTACAATTACACTGGTTCCTGATTGCTCTGTGACATCTGTTATGAGAAAATAACAATGTTCAGAGTACCGCAAACCTGATTATTTTTCTGCTAATGCAAGAAGCACATTCAACTCATGTGTAGAATCATGAGTATTGATTGGGTTTGATACAAAGTGTGAGGAATGGTGTGTGTACAAGAGTGTTAGGGTTTCAGACTCATAAACCACAAATCTGCACAAAATGTGCGTATGTTAATGTATACGTACACAGTCCATGGAGAATAGAAATAGCTTTCTGCCTGAGTCTAGATCTTCTAGTGTCCCTGTGTGTGTGTGTTAATGTGTTGTGTTTGTATTGGATTTCTCTCTGATGCAAGGGTTAAGCAGACTGCCATCAGTTTCTGGATGTTTCCAAGTGTTAGTTTCATAACCAGGTCATTCTTGAACAATCCTGTGAGGTATTAGTTCCCGTCTATTCAGCACTAGTTAGGCCTCATAAAGCGTACTGTGTCCAGTTCTGGACACCACACTTTAAGAAGGATGCCAATGAACTGGAGCAAATTCAGAAGAGGCCAACAAGGATGATTAGGGGACTGGAAATCAAGTCATATAAGGGAAAACAGGAAGACCTAGGTGAGTTTAGCCTTGAGAAAAGAAGACATGATGCCATTTTTCAAATACTTGAAAGGTAGTCATACATAGTCATATATGTTCTTGATCATCCCAGAGGGCAGGACACATAATAATGGGCTCAAGTTACAGGAAGGCAGATTTAGACTGAATATCAGGACAAACTTCTGAACTGTTAGAGCAGTATGACAATGGAACCAATTACCTAGGGAGGTGGTAAGTGCTTCAGCCCTGGATGCATTCAAGAGAAAACTGGACAATGATTTGTCAGATCTTCTTTGGTTTGGGTTCCTGCATTGAGTAGGGGGTTGGACTCAATGGCTTTATAGGCGTCTTCCAATGATTCTATGGATTCATCTCCCAGAGCTGTTTTTTAACATCGCCATGAAGTCCAGAAGGGAATACTGGGCCAGCTACACCTTGCATGTCTGGTTTGCTACAGATTTCAGTTCCACAGTTTCATTTGTGTTTCCACCATCTAATGTCCATCTGTGTACCATCTGCGCAATACAAAGCAGACTCCCCGTGGTTCTGGATACAATCACATTGTGTTATGTTCACCCCTTGTTTTTGACTGTCAAGGAATGCTAAGAGTGCATCGATTATCCAGGTTTGCTTTCTTTTGAAAGGTAGACATTGGTGGGTTGCGTTTTTTTTAAAAAAATATGCATTTATTTACAAAAAAAACCCACATTGTGGATTGACGGAAGTACAGCTTGTATACCTTAGCCGACAAGCAAAGGCCCGTCTGTTTGTACGCATCCATGTGTCTTTGTGAGCCATGTGGGCATCTCTCCAGGTTAGTCTGGGGATGCATCCGCATGAGGTGGCTTGTCTAATCTCTTGATGTAAAAACATAGGCATGTCCTCGCGATCGTCTGAGACAACAGAGCAGTCGAAGGATTAAAAAAGACGGCATGCAAAAGTCTTGTCATGAAGGCATGGATGTGGGTTGGATGTTCATGTGCAGATGTGACCGAACATCTGGCAGGGCAACTGAGCAGCCATGGAAGCCAGGGGTTTTTGGTGCCCCCTGTGCTGCTGTCTTTCCATGGGGATGAGCTTTCCAAGAAGTTGCACTGGCCTTGTGTCCTTATAGTGTGGGATAATGTTTGTGGAGTGATACAAATAATCTCTTTGTACACAGTAGCTGCTCTTGGGGGATATCTTAAAACTGGTTTACTGCAGAGCCTTGCCTCTAAATTCATCCAGCAGTTTCCCAGAATTGAGAAAGGAGCTGGGTGCTTAAGATGGAGCAAGAGGTAGGGGGAAGGAAGAATACTATGTGTAAAAGTTACTTTTTGGGACTACAGCTCCCAGAATTTCCTTTAACGTGCATGGCCATGAGGGATTTGAGGAGCTGTCGTCCCCTCCCAAAAGGAATGCTTCCAGCAAGGTGGATTTGATTTAAATCAAATTTATTTAAATCACAATTTAAATTATGATTTAAATTGCAATTTTAATTTTTAAAATCTGATTTTTTCGATGATTTAATATTTTTTACAAAATCAGTTTTTAAATTTAAATTGTGATTTATTTATTTATTTACTTTATCTTAGATTTTTATCCACCTTGCTTCCAACTTCTGGGAAGGAAGGAAGCTTCCATTTTCCTCCAGTTTTGCTCCGAGTGCTAATTCTTGTTGTTTGCATTTTTCTTAGGAGCACCTTCTGTGCAATCATTGCTCAGCTGACTGAGGAGACGCAGCCTCTTTTCGAAACCACGCTGAAATCATACGCTGTGTCTGAAGACGCAGATGCAAAATTCACGTGCGTGGTGACAGGTAAGTAAACCAAGTGGAGGCTTTGGGTTTTTAGCAACAGAATACAGGTCTGTGAATAAAATATAGTGATAAGGCCGGATTTCTTTTTTACTGAGGCTGAAACTAGAAGCAGGGTGGCATCCATATTTGACAAAGAATTTTTTTAAAAAAACTCACATAGCAAATGCATCAGCAGAGATTTACAATATGTTGATGGCAGATGAACTACAGAGAAACATAATTCTAGAGTCACTCATTGTCTAGATATGAAACTCTGGGTCGATTTGCAGCAAGCAGAATGCCTTGCATGGCTACTGAGTAGAAGGTCGCATTTGCAGCAGACTGCCTTGCATGGCTACTGAGTAGAAGGTCGACTAGATTCTGTAGGACTTGCTCTCAGGTAAAAGTATGGGATTGCAGCCCTTGGCCCTCCTTTCCCTGTGAACCCTTTAGGGATTTGATTGCACATCCCCACTTATGAAAATGCTAACAGTAGCACAGACAATAATCCTAGGTACACTTGCTAAATCCCAAATTTAAATTCTTAACCCTGGACCACGTGTTTCAGTGCCTAGACCCCTCATGTAAATGCCATGCACTTACTTTATTTTGATGCACCAATCCTTTTTCTATCAGATTTCATGGGTGGGTGGGGCTGATACTCAAAAGTGTTTTTTGGCAGCAATTTGGGAGATTTGGTCTGAAGCTGCCAGGACAAGTTTGAGAGAGGAATTCTCTCTTTTTCCTCTAATCTACCTCACAGGGTTGCAGAGAATTAAAAAAAAAGGGGGGGGAGGAAGAGTAACTAGGTGCACTTCCTGGTAGAAAGGGAAGGTATAAATCAGCTTTATTAAAATAAATGGTAGAATGTGAACGATGGCAAGCTCTTATTTATAGGAAAAGAACAAGTGACCAGAGTTCACTCATGCAAGTAATGTGAATTTTCCCCACAGACATACACATCGCACATTCTTTTTTCTTTTTCTTTTTTTTACCCATGGCACTGAGTTGTATTTTATCTTTGCTACTTTCTGCACCAACTTGAATTCCCTTGCTTCTAATTTGGTTTTATCACCAACTATATCTGAACTGAGGAAGGTTTTGATGTAACACTTCCTCCTGGTGGTCTCATCTCTGCTTTGGTCTCTTTAGTTTTTCCTGCTGGGCTTGGATTGCCCTGGGAAGAGTGTTCTTGGCCCCCTCTGTCTTGATCCTTGTGGTTCTCATGCCTTGACCTGTGGTTGTTATTTTGGTCTCTCCACTGTATTTTAAAGCAGAGAGAAAAAAAATAGTGACATGCCTGGCCTTTCCCATGCTGGACATGATGATCCATAGGGTCCCTTCCAGCTCTGCAGTTCTAGGATTATGATAATGGTGGTGATGATGGTGGTGATTAGAGATGGGGGCATTTGTATTCCTATACAAATACCCCCATGTCTAGTGGTAATATATTCCAACAATTTATAACCTCCATACCCCTTCTGTTTTAAAGATTTCCTTTTGGGAATCAGGATGTGCCTTTTGAGGGACCAGTTCTTACTAGTTCAGTACAGTACTTGCTGTCATAATTTGTCTTGTTCAACAGGAATGGTTGAACTCTTGACCAGCTGGAAGAAGGCTAGGCAAGGACAGGATGAGAAAGATGAGGACTGGAATCCTGATCATTTGACTCTGCTTCCACCCCCAGAAAGATATAGGGAAACAGATACACATGCTGAAGTTTAAATGCATGCCAAAACAAAATGAACAAATGATTTCTTTCTGACATATTGCTTAGCTGAGTTTTGCTTCTTTCAGCACAGTGGATGTCCCTTTGGGAATGGCTGGTGGTCATATAAGCGGGGGGAGTCTGGGAGTGGTAAGCCACAAAAGTAATTACTCTGAGCTCTAGGTAGGACTAATCATGATCCAGCAGTAGGATTGGAAAATGTATGTGTTGATGGATGGGAATTCCCATCAATAGAGAGATGTAGATTTTTTTTGGGTGTATGTGTTTCCAAGAAATGTCCCAGAAATGCCCAGGCAACATGCCCACTGGGGGATTCTTGAGTTGTAGTCCAAAAACACACATCTTCCCCCTCTACTTCTCAGTCCTATCTGGTGAAGATGGAAAAGTATTGTGGTATGTCCAGAGGTGAGCACTGGCCACTTGCTTTGAAGCCACATTGTCTCTAGAAACATAAAACTTGCAAATGTTATATTTCAACTACAACTCCCAGAATCCCCCAGTGAGGATGGCCAGTTGCCATGTTGGCTTGGGAGGATTCTGGGAGATAGCCTTTTAAGAAGTAATTTTTCCAGCCTCTACCTTTGTGCAAGGTCCCAGACTTAGCCTGAGTGGGCGCACACTAAGTCGAATCAGATAAAGGAACGGTTAATCCCCCATCTCTTTTCCTCCTCGGCTGGAAATCACACCTTTACAAAGAGGAAGCAGTCCTCTATAATTTCTGCACTCTTTTTAAAAAAAATGTAAAGTGCAATTAACTCAATTAAACATCATTTGCAATTTTTTTGTTCTCGTCTAAAATGGGAACTTTTCTCGAGGAATCTGATTTTCAGAAACCCAGACACTGTTAAGATAAAGATAGGGTCAGGAAAGCTGCTTCCAAACCATGCTTATAAATGTGCATATTTAGAAGACAATGCCACAAAAGTCCACATTTTCTCCCTCCACTATAGCAGCTTTCCTCCTCCTGGCTTTTACCCCATGCATTGGACTACAACCTCCATCTCAATGACTGTGCTTTCTGGTGATTATGGGATTTGCAGGCCAACATATTTGGAAAGCTCCAGTTTGGGGTAGACTGATATAGACTAATACTGTAGTTTAGTTTTAGACTCACCTCTCACTATCTCTGACTCTTGGGGATGCTGCCTGGGGTTTCTATGGAGTGAAGTCCGAAACAGGGTAGATTTGATTTAAATCATGATTAAAATTTTAAAAATCTGATTTTTTTTTTGCAATCTAAATTTTTAAAAAGTCAGTTTAATTGTTAAAAAAAATCATTGATTTGTATTCACCCCAGTCCAGAATACCCAGAGAACCATTGGTTGACATCCATTAGTCTGGAGAAAGCAGGTTATGGAGAGAGAAGGGTAATTTGGTGGAAATAGAAAATTCCCAGAGTTGAATTAGTTGAATTTTCAGCCTTGACACTAGGTGGTTTCACTTGCTGGAGAGAAATGACTTACATATTATCTGTCTTCTTTTTTTCTGCATCCCTCATGTTTAAAATATTGATTTTTTAAAAAAAGAATGGTAAGATCATCAGTATTTCCTGGGTATCTCCTGTGTTATAGGTCTGCACGCTGTATGGCTGGAGGGTGGGGGGAAGCAGGAGATGTGCCTTAGCAACACACAATCCCCTCTGTTCTAGCCCATCCCTGCTGGCTTCCAGCTGCACCTGTGACTTAACAGTAGAGGCATCTGCAATGTGTAACTGGAGCCCATAGAGGGAAAGGAGGCTAAATGAGTTTTCGGTCAGTTCCTGTCCGTGTTGCTGGGGGTTCAAAGAGAAGGAGAGAGAAGCAGCTCCCATTGATGCCACATTGCAACTATAATTCTCTGCCCCAGTACCTTCTGATTTATGCAATGGCTAAAATAACTTGTTCTGCTTTGGGTACCATGAGTGGAGTCGATGGCAGGGTGCCATTTGCTGCTCGCTCTCAGGCAGCAACATTATGTGGGCCACAGGCTATGGGAGAACACAAAAATCCCTTATCTTAATTCTGCACGAAGAACTTTAGCTGCAGAATTTGGAACTCCACCCCCCCTTTTTTTCCTGGTTTAAATCACATAATGAGGTTGGGGGGGGTTTAAATTCTTTCTTTCTCTATGCAGAGGTCAATCAACAACGCTGAAGCCGATTCAATCATTGAGGCCAGCGAGGGGTAGCACATGTCCACTGATTGACCTATAGGCCATCTGATACCCTCTCATGTGTTAGATGATGTTTCCCATCATCCTGCTTGGCCATGCTAACTAGTGGACAATGAGAATTGTCATTAAGCACATCTAGAAGGCATCACATTGTGGAAGGTTGCTTTAAGACTATGTGTCCCTGCTGGGTATCTGAGTAATTTAAATAATGAAAACAGTTTCTGGGGAAAGGGAGGATTAAACCACTGGCCAGACCTGTCTGGAGACTCTTTGAAGTGTAGTCTTAAAAGATTGTTTTCTCATGCTATCATTAAACCAAGACTTGGGAACCTCTTTTCCTTTCTTTTCTTCTATTTTTCTTATCTTTTGTCTTTGTCTTGAGGAACAAATTGATTCTAGGCTAGAATTTTGAAGACCACCTTACCTGTTTTCGTGGGCAGACCTGCACATCTGTTCATGTGCATAGATACACTCTGTCATGCTCTTTCGCTCACACACTCACACTCACAACATTCGTTCGTGCACCCCACTCCCAGAGTTGGACTAAACAATACACTTAGCATATATTTGAAGAGGTGCTCCCTTAATGAAAAACATCATCTGTTTGTCACAGCATGTAATTTTCCACAGCTATGTATGCTTTAGCATTTAGCATGCTTTGTTTTCTAAGTGGTCACTGAAAGACAAACCTGGGATTCACGGGGAAGATACATTCTCATAATGTCTTATACCGTATCCTTGTTTTGAAATGTTCTCAAGGGAGGCAGTTATGGGGTTCTGATCCCATTGTTTCTCTTATGACAGTTTCATTGTTTTTTAAAAACCCTTAAGAGATCTTTTATCACAGACAATTATAGGATGCACAGGTCTGGATATACAGGGAATGGTTATATAAAAATGCCTGTAAGGAGCTAGACAAGCAGGGGGAGAAGGTGGGGAAATGAGGCCAGGTGTTGACTGCTACTAGTCAGTGGGTGCTTAGGAGCAAGGCATGAGTTAATGTTTGAACTTCACCCAAGTGCAGAGCTTGTAGCAGGGAAGGGTGGCCAGATGGAATGAGAAAGGCTGGAGGTGACCTTGGCTGCGGCAGTTCGGAAAGATGGGAGGGGTGGGTGTTGTTTGAGAGTCCGGTTTTAGAAATGGGGAGGAGAGGAAGGTCCTTCTGGAGAGGGAATGGTGGGAGGGATAGAGATCACCCCAGTTGGTGCAAGATTGCCTTGGGTATATGAGGGCTATGGGGAGACTTTGCCCAGCTGCAAAACCTGGCACCCTCTACTACCTGTTACGATTTTTTTTATTATGCAGAGTTCTCATAAAAAAGATAAGAACCAAAGAAATCTAAACTCATGCATGTATGCACGCACACTAAAACAGGAAGGCAGTCGTGGAAAAAATATCTTCATGTAGGGTTCAATAAAAGGCATTCGAATGCCTTAAAATATTTCCATAAATTGGCTTGACACCAAGCAAAATAGCACTGGACTTTCAAGAGGACAAAAACTGAAAATAGGATCAAAAATTGCTTCTTGTAGGTGAAGAAGTCGATTTCTTCACCGTGCTGTTTGCAGAGATGCTCCCCCAAGTGGCAAAAAAACAGGAGATTTCCCCCCTTCCTCGTTGATCAAAAATTACTTCTTGTAGGTGAAGAAGTCGATGATTTCTTCACCATGATGTTTGCAGAGATGCTCCCCCAAGTGGCAAACAATTATCTCCTTTCCCACACCTTGTGATTTTCTTAAGCTTGCATTTTGTGTGCCTTGTTTTAGGATTGGTCCTTAGAAGGTAAACACAAACTGAATTGATGTGTCTGGTGGCTGAGGCACACATTTTATCCTGTTGTAGAAAGGAAGGCAGCTTGATCATCACGGACACTCATTCCCTTGAATGTTTAGTTGGACCCTAAGGCAATTGTTATCCTCCTGTCTTGGAGGATGTTGTTGTTTTGTGGATGGGTGTCTGTTTCTGTGTGTCTGTGTCTTTGTGTGTTCTGGGCAAAAGTCTAATGCTTCTAATGGTCAACCAGAGATAACCAGAGAGGTATCTCTAAACAAGAGGCAACATGGAGCCTGTGAAAGATAAGCTGTTCCCGAAATACTTTGCCTCTGCAGCGCAGCAATGTGTAAATCAATAGCAATGGTTTTAGGAAATGGGTCTTATGTTTACACCCCTGGATTTAAAGCCGTAATTATCACTGTGCAAATATCCCTAAAGCTGATAATAGACTTTTTATTCCCTTCACTAGAACAGGACCTGGCCATAACTAGGCGAAGTTGCACTAACTATATCTCCTTACTCCAGAAGCCAGCTGGCATGGTGGGTGGCTGTTCTGACTGGGGATTCAGGGAATTGTAATCCCTTCCAAAATATTCCCAAACTCTGTTCAGTTGACATCCCAGATTTGGAGGTGTGCCCAAGGTATTGTGCACAACATGTTGAACTCATGCAGTCATTGAACTTCCCCTGGAGGTCAGCTAGGGTTGAGAGGCAAGGCATGAGGTGCAAAATCCAAGCGTTGGAGACCATCGTTGAACTTCCCCCGGAGGTCAGCTAGGGCTGGGAGGCAAGGTGCAAAATCCAAGCGTTGGAGACCATCTTCCTCCATGCTAAAGGATTAAGACTCAGTGGAAGCTTTGGAGTCAGGCAGGTTCCCTCCTCCCTGCCATCCGATGATCCCAGCAAGAGCGTAGCCCTTTTGGCCCTGAAGTAGCCGGTCACTTATGTTCCATGATGTCATTGCCCCGAAAAGGCAGGTGGCATCTGTTTGTTCAGTGCCACTTGGAGGACACAAGCAGGCTATGATGCAATTGCGGTTGCTTCTGCCCAGTGGAAACTTAAGGTTCAGTTTACAGACTGTGATGCTTGGTTCTCCATGGAGCTGCTGGCCCTGAGCAGGGTGCCTCTTTTTTAACTTCAAACTTCAATCCACTAAAGCAGACACACTTCCTGGAACAGCAGGGGTGTTCTCATCACCCATCTATGCTGGCCCGGACCGAAAAAGTTCACCTGATCTGCACTGCTAGATCTTAAGTGTGCTTACAAACAGCTTGTTTTTTTGCTCTCAATGATGGACAGCTGCCAAGGTGTCCTTCTCTGTTAAATCACGAGCCCCATCATTCTTGCAAAAGTTACTTTCTTCGCTGCAACTGCTAGACTCCTTCAGTCATCACGGCCGGGCTGGTCAAGTGGCTCAGGAAGCGATGGTCCCAAAAAGTAACTTTTCCAAGCCCTTGTTATATACACACACCTTAGGTCTTTCTTGTCTCTCTAAATATAAAAGTCAGACAAGCTGGTGTGCTAACAAAAGATGTTTGGACGGCTGTCTGTTTTATTAGATGAGTTTGTCTTGTCTTGCTTTAGCCCACTTTTGTGGGGTATTTCAGCCATGTGGCTAAGCTGAAGCCTTGACATTAGATCCAGATCAATTCAATAATAACCATATGCCATCAAGTCATTTCTGACTTATGGTGACCCTTTCCAGGATTTTCCAGGTAGGGAATATTCAGAAACAGTTTACAATTCCTATCTTCTGGGAGGGGGGCATCCTCAGTCTGTGCAGCTTGCCCAAGGCCACACAGGCTGGCTTTACTCACCGGAGACACAGTGGGGAATTAAACTCCCAAATTCTGGCTCCACCACCAGATACCTAAACCACTGAGCTATTCAGCCAGCTCAGGTCAATATACCCTACTGCAGGAGTGGGCAATTAATTTCTACAGGGGGGGGGCACATAAAAAATCTGAACTGTGTTTGGGGGACGAACCAACTTTACTTAAAAATAAAATGAAACAGTGATGTTATAATTGTTTTTATTTTAAACTTGTTAATCTTCACAAATACTAAAGAGGTTTTTTGTGGTATGTTAAAGATAAGCAACTGATCAACTTTGGACAAAAAGCTATAAATGGTTTTGATGTTCAAAACTGTCCGCGGGCCAGACAGGAGCGGCTCGCGGACCGTATGTGGCCCTCGGGCTGCACTTTGCCCAGGCCTGCCCTACTGTAACAAAGCCTGAATATTTGTAATGGGTAATATTCTTCCTCTTTGTTTAGCCCTGCTTCCATTTCCCTCCCACTTCTCTGCTCTCTTTTCTGAGTTGAATTTTAGATTGCATGCTTTTTGGCACAGAGACCTATTATGCTCTGTAAAGTGCCCTTCATATAGATTAGCAGCATTTCAGTAAATAACAATATAGCACAGCCCATTGGGGGAGAAAACTCATATGTGTAGGCACTGACTTTTTCTAGCAAAGTTATATTAGGACATAAAGTGATTAAATGTCCCAGTGTTAGGAGCAGTACACCTTGTGAAGATTCAGGATAGACCTTTCTCAGCTATAGAGTGCCTTGATTGTGAAAGGGTGTCTCCTTTAGCCCCAGCTGGCACTGACACTGGCCTCATTTCAGCACACCATGTTATAACCTAGTTACTCATTCAAGCAGTTGGATCTTTATGAGTTAATGGCTTGTTGGGAGTTTATTGGATTGCAAAGTTTGTTTCGATTTTTGAATTCTTTTGGACTGTTTCAATTGTTTCAGTCTGCTTTCATGCCATTTAATTGACAAGCTCTTTGTAGGGTGGGTTAGAAATGTCTTACTAAAGAAAATAACCGCTAAATTTTGTTACCAGTATACTGGGAAAAGGTCAGGGTGCAGATGACATTTCTTTTATAACGTATCAATTTTTTGGCAAATAATCTCCTCCATTCAAACCTGGGTGACAGGAAGGAAGATGCAATCTTCATTCTCGTTGCCACTGCTGTGGTGGTGCCAGCCATGAGTTCTGTTTATTGAGAAGTGCATGCCAGATGCTAGCTATGATATTATTGCAGGGATGGGCAGCTTTAGAAAGTTTGAGGCTAGAAACCCAATATGTTTCAATTTTTTAAAAAAATTAGGTGCACCCAAGGCCATGTGTCTTGGTTTGATGTGAAATCCTAGTTAGTGAAGCACCATATTCAACATTTTCCTCCAGACGTGCCTCATGTGGTGCCTGTATGGCTCATGCATCACCCAGTCCTACATTGTTGTAGCCATCAAACGCATCTTCTTTTAGTCTGTGCTGTTTTGAAAGTTGAAATGCCCTGACAGCTATTTCTGTATTATATTTCCCCTTCTCATTAGACACTAGGTCAAATGAGACATTAACCCATTTCCCCTCCCACAATGGGATTTCCTCAGAGCTACTTGCTTCTGCAATCAAACTTGTTAATTAAGCTCATGATTACCTTCCATTGACCAATCACAAAACAAAGCATGCCAGATCCAAGACATATAGGTGAGGAAAAGCACATGTTACAGTGAATAGAAGCTTTTCACCACTTGAAGGAGCACCACAACGAGAGGGGGGGAAGGGAGGGAGGGAGGTTATTCACTGATTCACTGTGTGGTCCTATATGACCCTTAAATGTTTGGTACAAGTACTGTAGCAGTTTTCTTTATGGTTGTTGGGCAACCTTTTCTAATGTGGAATCTTCCATTTGTGTTTGGAATTGGCTAGAGATTATAGAAGATGAAGCTATAATAAATGCTAATGATTCATGTCCTCATCAGGATACCCACAGCCAGAAGTGACCTGGTACAAAGATGAAGAAGAGATGGACAGATACTGTGGCTTGCCAAAATACCAGATCTTCCGTCATGGGAACCGACATACACTGCAGTTATACAAGTAAGGAAGGGGGGAGAGGGATGCCTCATTGTCCTCATTGTCTAAGGCTGTGGTCCCCAACCTTGGGCCTCCAGATGTTATTGGACTGCAACTCCCAGAAAACTTCACCACCACCTCTGTTGGCCAGGATTTCTGGGAGTTGAAGTTCAAGAACATCTGGGGGCCCAAGGTTGGGGACCACTGGTCTTCTCATTGTCCTCATTGTCTAAGGGATACCTCTTTGCTTAATGTTGCTGCTCTGAATCAGGTCTTGGGAAAGTTACTTTTTTAAGACTAGAACTCCCAAAGCCATTAGTCATCCTGCTAACTGGCCATAGTGGCCAGAATGTGGGGGACTTCTACAGGTTGTAGCAAAAAACTGAATGTCTTTGGGTTCTGGCAGGATTCTATGATGATGATGATGATGATGATGATGATGATTAGAACTTGAGGCCTAGGAAGTGGAGTCAGATGCAGAAGAGCAGCTCAAATAGGGAAACACAGAAGGTGCCTCTGAACACACATGAAGCCCAAGAATTTGGCTTCAGTAGGAAAAGGGGAGTCCAGAGGCAAGTCTTTTCACTGTCAGATTTATTCCTCTTTTCCCCCTCGTAGGCTTTCTTGATTCAAAAAGCCTAATTTAGGAAGCTCCCCCTCCCCAACAGCAGTGCCTGAGTGTTTCGTTCTTATGCCAAGGAATCTTTTCAGTTCTTTGGAGACCCTGTGCTCTCTCTCACTCTTTAGTGACAACCTACAGTTCATTGCCTTGAGAATTTTATATTTGTTTTGGTGGAATGAAAGGGTATAAATATGAACTTTAATTTTCAGAAAAAGTGAAGTGCACAGCCTCTTTTTTTTAAAAAAAAGGAATAGTGAACAGCATCTTCTCCCACCCCTAGAAAAAACTTTGCCATTAATCTTGGTGTAAGATACTGTGCCACTCATTCTACATAGTGCTGTTTTAATACTACAGAATTAAAAACTACAGTCTGTCCATTATGTTAGCTGCTTTGCATGCTGTTTTCAGCAGAAAGATGTGAATATAAATTATATTAATCTTCTTTTAAGTTTCTTTTGATTGCCTCGCCTCTTTCCAGTTTACCATTTTTCGTAACTCCATATGTCTTATAGAAAAGAAGATACTTCATTCAGTTGTATGGGACAGAAAGTGGTTTTGGTTCCACCTCTTTCTCTTTGAGACCACAGTGTGGTGTCCTGTTGGATATAAATATTGAGATCCAAGCTAGATGCAGTGTAAATTGCATAATTCTAGTTGATGAGGTCTGAATTATATACCATGTTAACTGGATGAAGTCAATTGACAAGGGCCAAACTATAAGCCCCCCCCCCCCCCCCCCACTTCAGTTTCCCCCCCCCCCCCCCCCCCCCCAGAGCTTTGGAAAGCTTGAGCACCCTCATTGTCCTGGGAGATGGACAAAGGAAGCTATTAACTCTTCCCCTGCCTTTGATGAGAACCCCACCCCTAGAAAATTTTTTGCCATTAATCTTGGTGTAAGATACTGTGCCACTAATTCTGCATAGTGCTGTTTTAATACTACAGAATTAAAAACTACAGTCTGTCCATTATGTTAGCTGCTTTGCATGCTGTTTTCAGCAGAAAGATGTGAATATAAATTATATTAATCTTCTTTTAAGTTTCTTTTGATTGCCTCGCCTCTTTCCAGTTTACCATTTTTCGTAACTCCATATGTCTTATAGAAAAGAAGATACTTCATTCAGTTGTATGGGACAGAAAGTGGTTTTGGTTCCACCTCTTTCTCTTTGAGACCACAGTGTGGTGTCCTGTTGGATATAAATATTGAGATCCAAGCTAGATGCAGTGTAAATTGCATAATTCTAGTTGATGAGGTCTGAATTATATACCATGTTAACTGGATGAAGTCAATTGACAAGGGCCAAACTATAAGGAATGCCAATTGCATCAGTTAGATTTATCCCCACCTCCCCCCCCCAACAGAGCTTTGGAAAGCTTGAGCACCCTATTCCTGGGAGATGGACAAAGGAAGCCATTAACTCTTCCCCTGCCTTTGATGAGAACTGGGGTTGAGAAAGAAAGAATTTAAATCCACCCCTAATCATCCTTGCCTCATGGTCTTGCCTCATCCTTGCCCCTCCTAGACACGGGATGTCTAGGAGGGGCAAATGGACAATACAAAAAAGAGAGGTTGATTGCAGTTGTGCCATTAAGGATACATCTATATTTGCCCTGAGAAGAGATAACAAAGCAGAAGAGAGATTTCAGGCTTGCAAAACATTGGATTTTACAAGAATCCCAAGACACACCAGCTAGACATGCCTTGACTTAGAACTGAAGAATTTGGAGTCCAGAAATTTCCTATGAGTATCAGAACTGGAGGGTGTTCAGAGTCTTTCCAAACATAAAAATCTACTTCCGGTTGCCTTTGACTTTTTTTTTCCATTTTGCAGTATAATTTAGGGAGAGAGGAAAATCATTTTGTTGCAAGTGTTATGTGCGACTCACAAATTCTTGGTGGGAGTCACAAGTTCTTGCTGGACTTCTGCAAGTCACCCAAAGACCTATCTGTACATGAAGATCTACCCTTGAGCCACCACTGCAATTGTATACTAGGGAGTGCTAGTATATAAGATTACCCTAGAGGTTCTGAAGTTGGTATTGTAGCATGGATTTTCTTTGTTGTGCTGACTTGGGCAACAGGGTCAGGGCAGAAGGTGCTTGGTTGCTGACCCTTAGGGGGAGGAGAGGGAGAGTTTAAATCAACTGAACTTAGGTTGATTTTAACACCAGACCAGACAATATATATATTTTTTTATTTTGGAAGCTAAGCCGAGTGAGGCCTTCCTAACACTTTGGTGGGAAACCATCGGGAACACAGGGATCACCAGGTAGAGCTGGGAAAGAATTTCCTCTAAATTCTGGGGAGCCACTGCTGCCAGTCAGAGCAGACAATACTAGATTTAGATGGTCTCAGTCTGACTCAGGATAAGGCAGCTTCACGTATTCCGGCGAGCAGGTAATCCTCTGTGGTCAGAAAGGCATTAATCAACAGTAACAATATTCTAATGCATGTACGTACTAATCTTGGGCTGCATGGATATCTGCCTGTGGGACAAACTCTATGAATTATGCACACCTTCCTTGAGTGAAGGGAGAGCTCAGTCTGCAAAGGGAAGTCTGTCTGGCTACAGAGAGCTGAAACTGACGAAATTTAAGGCAGTTTTGAGACACTCCTTATCGATTTCCTTTTCCTAACTGGGTGCCCTTCAAGTGTGTCGGACTACAACTCCCACTGGTTCTGCTGGTTGAGGATGATGAGTGATGTAGTGCCAGTTTGGTGAAAGCTGCAGTGTCCTCCAACAGGGAATTGCAGGAAAACCTTCCTCCTTCCCTGGTTGCTTGTAATACTCTCCCTGTCTCTCTCTCTCTGTCTGTCTGTCTTTGTCTCCAGGTGCACAGAGGATGATGCAGCCATTTACCAGGCCTCAGCCAGAAACAGCAAGGGGATCGTGTCCTGTTCGGGAGTCTTGGAAGTCGGAACCATGACAGAGTATAAAATCCACCAGCGGTGGTTTGCCAGGCTCAAGAGGAACGCCGAAGCCAAGCTGCGGGAGATTGAGCAGAGCAGGAAACGAGGGAAGGAGAATGTGGAAATGGAGCAGCTGAGGAGAGTGAGTCCGGATCGGTTCCAGCGGAAACGTCGGCTGACGGGAGAAGTTGGGATGCGGTCGGGTGCCTCCCTCTGGGACAAAGAGGAGGTGGCAAAGGTGCGCATCCCGGATGGGAAGTCACGGTTTGGGGAGGGCGATCACCCCACAGACCAAGAGCCTCCACTAAACACCACTGCCCTGTTTTCTAAGAATTTCATCTCGGGGCGGATGGAAGGGGAAGTCACTGCCAACGTGGATGCTTCTCTGGAGAACGGAGAGCCGAACGGGGAAGAGAATGCCAACGGCTTCCTCTCCTATATCTACGAGGCCGTGGAGAAGATGAAAACCAAGCCGACAAACAAGGAGTATTCCGTGAAGAAGAAGAAGAAGAAAGAGGAGAAGGCTAGTAGCTCACCAAATGCACCTTGGGACGCTTCCCAGCAAGAGGGTGGGAAGCAGCAGAGGAGAAATGTCGCGGTCCATCAAGGTGTCAGCCCCGTTGCCGCAGCTCAAAGTGCATCGCCAGTGGCAAATGGGGAGCTGACGGGAGCAGAGATCAAAGAACCTTCATGCCAGGCTACAGAAAGACCCACATCCTTGCCCCCTGCCCCATCTTCCAAAGATGGCATCTACTTTTCTCTGAAGGATATGTATTTTGATTCTGAAAAGAAGCCTGAACTTAAGCAGGAGATGCCAGAAGTAAAGTTGGTGAGAAAAAAGGCAGATGAACCCAGCGTGGCTGTCTCTGTTCCAGAAGAGACTCTACCAAAAACCAGTATGGCTTTGAAAACGGCTGTACTGGAGGAAAGGAAAAATGAATCCTGCTCAGAGCGAGAGGAAAAGGAAAAGGAAGCTGTACAGATTAAGAGCGCAACATTGCCATTTGTGGAAACCCTGGGAGATCCTAACGCCACATCGTTCCAGCATCTAGACAGGTCTGTAGAGCCTGCCAAGGAAGCTCAAGAAGGCGCAGCTCCCTTCCAGAGGCCAAATGCGGCCAAGATGCCAGACAAAAGCCCCTCAAGAACGGATTTTCAGCATCCAAATGAGACTCTGGACCCTGGAGCCCGGGCGCCATCTCCTTTCCCAAAGGAGAACAGAACACGATTACTCGATGGGCACATCCGTGAAACGGACTTGCTGGACTCCTTCCCCACTGGAGTTGAGCCCGCCCAGCACCGCCAAAGCCCCTTCCGGGGAGACACAGGGATCAATCCAGCCCAGCTCTCTCAGGGAGCCAAGCAAGACTTACAGGAGGCTGCCTTGGAAGAACAGCTGTACACCCAAGGGCCTTGCGAGGTACTGTAAGTTCTTCCCCCCCCTCTCCTTTTCTTCTCTCCCCGCCCCTCTTCAGCTGACCTCCTGCAAAATGTTTCCAAATCAGATAAGCAGCAACTGCCAAAGCTTCCCCGGCTATTTATAGCTGGGATCTGTGGCATGTGCATGACCAGCAAGAAACAAGATGGTCACTCTCCAGGCCAGTACTGACCCCTGGCTTTAAAATGTCGTATTCGCCAGCAGTGAAACCTTGGGGGTTTCTTTCTAGGGGTGTGTGGCGAAGGCACCTAGATCAGAGCCTGGGAAAATGACATGTCCGAGGTCCGCTTCTCAGAATCTCCCACCCATCCAGCCATGGGACCTGGAGGATTCTGGGAGAGGCAGTCCAGAAAAAAAAGAGTACCTTCCGACAGATCTGGCTTGCATGGCTGGTTTGGATCAGCTGCTGCTCCTGAGCCATCATCGTAGCATTGCTTCTGGCCCCCAGCTGTCCCTGACACTCACCATCCTTGTCCGGCCGGTGTCTATTTCCATCACTCATTCTGAAGAATTTTTTGAGTAATTCTGCGTTTAGGAAAAGATTTCAACAAGAAATGCAAAATGAAAGAAAAGCCAAAAAGAGAGAGAGAAGACTACATGGTGAAACATTCATGAACAGCTCTAAGATAAAAGGACAGGGGTTGCCTTGCATGAATGTTTTACCATGTACAGTGGTGCCTGGCTTGACAACGTTAATTCGTTCCAGCGAAATCGCTGTAGAGCGAAAACGTCATCAAACGAAATTAAAAAAACCATTGAAACGCATTGAAAACCATTCAATGCGTTCCAATGGGCTGAATACCTGCTCGTCCAGCGAAGATCCTCCATACGGCGGCCATTTTCTGGTGCCTCTTAAGTGAAAAATCAGTCCTAAAAAAAAAAGCGGGGACCATTTTCTTCAGCCGGCGGCCATTTTGAAACCCGACGATCAGCTTTTTGCTGATTGTCGTAAAGCGAAAATCAGTTCCCGAAGTAGGGAACCGATCATCGTGAAATGAAAAAAAACAACAACATTTAAACCATCTTTTTGTGATTGCAAAACATTTAAACCATCTTTTGTGATTGCAAAAGCGATCGCAAAAAGTTCAATGTTAAGCAGATTCATCGTAGAGTGGGGTAATGCGATCGCCAAAAGTTCAACGTTAAGCAGATTCATCATAGAGTGGGGTAATCATCCAGCGGGGCACGACTGTAGTCTCTGCATTCTACCAGTTACGTCTGACAAAGTGGACGTGTTCCACGAAAGCTGACATTAAAATATTGCAGTTAGTCTTTAAGGTGCCACAACGTTTTTGTCTCCCTCCCCTTTTGTTTCGTGTTTCTTGTTGAAATGCTTGCACAGACTAACATGGCTACAACTTTGAAAATTAGGAAAAGCTCCCCCCTTTTGTTTTGTGTTTCTTGTTGAAATGCTTGCACAGACTAACATGGCTACAACTTTGAAAATTAGGAAAAGAGTCTCTGTGTACCTCCTTCTAACAGAGTTTCCCGACTCAAGGCCTTGTGATCTGATCAGGGATTTGTGCTCCTCATGGGATCGGCATCTGAACAATCCCTGCCAAGAAGTTAAAAGGGGAGGTGCGTGGGTGGGTGTAAGTGGGTGTCTCAGCATAAGACTTGCGTGGGCCAAAGAACTTGGGTCACCTTCTTGAGCTGAGCAGCTGCAAAGTGGCTTCTGGCTCAGGTTTCGAGACGATGCACGTTTCCCTGCCTTGGAACTCCAGATCCCGGTGGGGTGGGTGAGGCAGCTCTTAAGAATGTGAACTCACCAAGCCAGCTTATACTGTATTGTCAGGCCACTGACCGAGTGATCATTGTCTCCAGGGATGCACAAGCTTGTGAGACTGGGGCAAACCTATTCATTTGACCTGGTGGTTGTGGCGTTCACCCTTGTGGCTCCTGCTTGTCCTTCTGTCACAAAGGCTCGCGTTGCGTTTTCCTCTCACTGCCACCAATGGATCACCTCAATCCACAATACAAATGATGTATATTAATCCACATTACAATTTTTTTTTCTTATATACTGCCCCATAGTGCTTCAAGCACTCTCTGGGTGGTTTACAAGTTAATTATGCAGGCTACACAAATGATATTTTTCAAGACACTTGTCTTGTAAACAGGAACAGAACTTATTTATTGAAGTGAAGCCGATTGAATAACAACAGAGGTTTCTCAGATAAACATTATACAAAAGCAAATCATCAACAGTTCTCTCAGGACACGCTTCTTTTCTCTAACTATATCATTACCACCTTCTCTACCTATTTTCTTAACCAGCTTTATCTCTCTCAGTATTTGTTCCCTCTCTCTCTGACTAACCAGTCCCTATCTCTATCTGCATCTCCTCCCAATCTCTACCTGACTCCTCCCACCAAACCCCATGTAACTGCTGACTCCGCCTCTCCAGTCCTCTCATAGGCTCATGCAAATCAGCTCATGACTATGAATGGCATGAATGACGTGGGTTGATCGTCACAGTGGTCCTATCCCGGGTTTGCTTGTATTTGCAAATTTGCTTGCTTTCATTTGCTGATTGGCCTTTGGGAGATAAGCAGGGGCTTCATTTGCAAGTCTTAAGGTGTTTTGAAGGAATTGTGTGGCTAGTGGCAAAACAGGACAATCTCAGGAAATATGCGTTTGTATTAATGTCTGACTTGCCCCTCATGTAGGCGTCCTCAACCTGGTATCTTGGACTAGGACCCCCATCAGAGTTAACCAACTGTCATGGTAGCACACCTCGAGGGCACCAGGTTGAGAAAGGCTGATCGAATGGCTTTTCAAGTCTCCCCCTTTATGGAATCTACTACTGTATATATGAATTGGGATATGGCTGCAGAATCTCCTCCAGCAACTCCCTGCAGAAGGAGGCTCTGTTTCTGCCAATGGACTTCCTTCTCATTGAAGGTCCTTATCGGCCTCCCAAAGTGGCTTTTAGCACTCAGCAGCTGCCCTTGCAATCTTGCTGGAATTTGCTTGACTTGTCTCCATTTTAGGCAAGGCAAAACAGCCTCTGCCTTTGACTAAAGAAGGGGCTCTCTCAGCTAATCATGGGAACCAGCATGCCTGGGAATGCTTTGGTAGGCTAGCTGATTCCACGCTCAGCGGCGCTGGTGTGTGAGGTTTTTCTTTTTAAATCTTAAAGCTTGCATGTCGTAGCTAAGGAATTAAAATTGATGTGGTATGGAAGGCCTGTGATCCAGGAGTATGTGTGAAAACTTCACAGCAGCTGCTTGAGGCTCTAGCTTTGATCGGAGCAGTAGTGCTGGGGTAGCTGGTCTTAAACTTTCTCCTCCATACTATTTCCTTACTCTGAATCCCTTGCAACTTGGTTTCAGTTGTCCTGGAGAAAAGCTGCAGTTGTCATCACATGGCATCATCCTCTCATTGTGTTTTTGGGTGAGCTTGGACATTTTAGATCAGGAGAGTTGCTAGGGCTGGCAAGATCTAGAAGCCAGCAACATTCAACATGCTGTAGGTTCTTCACCTCGATCCTGCATCTGCACCTCAGGACATTCTCTTTGTTCTGTGGGGATGATGGTTCTGTGGCAGAAGAGTCCTGTTGCAGCTGCCACAGTCCTTTACCATTGCCCTTCCTGGCAGAAGCTTTAGAGAGCTGAAAATCCAAAACAGCACCAAGGTGTCTCAGTCCTAGAGCAGACACAGGACTGAACTAGATGAGCGAAGCATGTCTGTCCTGGGATAGAAGAGCTGTTTTGATCCTTATTGTTCTTGGGTTGGAGCTTCTCCTTGAGGCTGTTTTAGTGGAATGCCTATCCAAGTGCCTCAACCTGTCCCCGGACACGGCTTGCGCAGGACTCTGTGGTGGTTTGTGGGCTCTCACGTCACCGGTGGCACTAAAGGACCTCTGCCGATCTCATGGTCACAGCCAGTTGGCGCTTTTGAGTCACTCTTTCAAAGCTACATTTGATATCCATTCGCACTTCCGATTGTGACAGCATGGAACGGCTCGAGACATGTCTTGCAATTTGACTCAAAGACCTCGGAGCAGCTGTTCCCACAAAATCCTGCAGCTGCATTATTGGCATCGTTTCCCCGAGCAACTGTTTCCAGTATGACTCTGTGTTGGTAGGAAGAACAATAGAAGAGGCGATAGCTTTTCCCCAAAGCATTCATATCAAACTATTTAGTTATGGAAGACCTAAAGGAACTCAAAGAATGATCCATGACCCAACCACTTGTTGTAGCGCTGAACGTACTCTTTATCCTCTGACTTGAAATATACTTTCCAAACTTGCATCAAATAATTGCACACTGAAAACAATACAGTACGATGATGCAGGCAATATGTTGATCCATATGTACATATATGTCTCTGTCACATTCATTTACATATGTGCATCACACATTTGCACTGCATTATGATAGCAATCACTCACAAACAACATTCCCTCTAATTTTTGGCCCTGCTGTGTGAAAGCCTTGCCCCATGTGTGGGGTTTCATCCAAAACCCAGAAATAAACGAGCATCAAGTCCAGCTGCTGTTGCACCGTGCCAGTGGGGCTCTGTGCGCACAGCTTAGAAGGAATGTTGCTCATGACAATATGTTGACCAAAACCCTCTTGATTAGTGTCATAAGCCACAACTAGAGGAGGCTCCTTGAAACAGTGGAACCTATGGAGCGCTTGACTCACCAAACCCCTAAAGATGCAATAGGGATTCAGAGTCCTAGTTCATCACTCTGTCCGCTACACCACACTGGGTATCACTAGGCATGCTATACAACAGGACATCCACCATAGTTACTGGGGAAAATCCCCTTCCTCTCCAGCCACTGGAAGAGTTGCAGCTACATTCAGAGGGAACGGAGGTACCCATGGTTGTTAATGGTCATGGCAAACAGTGTCAACATCTCTTCTGCTAAAGAGGATGCTGTGAGCCCTGGTTCTACCACTGTTGGTACCATCCATCACTTCTTCTTCTTCTTCTTCTTCTTCTTTTGTAATTTATGATCAGCTTCCTCTTTTGACACAGGGACGTGGTGGCACTGTGGGCTAAACCGCAGAAGCCTGTGCTGCAGGGTCAGAAGACCAAGCAGTCGTAAGATCGAATCCACGTGACGGAGTGAGCGCCTGTCGCTTGTCCCAGCTCCCGCCAACCTAGCGGTTAGAAAGCATGCAAATGCAAGTAGATAAATAGGTATCACCTCGGTGGGAAGGTAACAGCGTTCCGTGTCTAAGTCGCACTAGCCATGTGACCACGGAAGATTGTCTTTGGACAAAACGCTGGCTCTATGGCTTGGAAACAGGGATGAGCACCGCCCCCTAGAGTCGAACACGACTGGACAAAAATTGTCAAGTGATCAACTTCCTCTTTTGACAATTGCACTGGCAGTTCGCTTATGAAAAATTATCCTCTCATTTCCCTTTTAGCTTTGTAGACAGCTAAAACAAACAATCTCAGAGTGCTTGTGGGTTTCCAGATGGCATGCACAGTATAAGTGAAACACAGTGGAATATCTTGTCACTCTGTGAACACAATCTTCGTGCATTCATTTGGCGAATAGGTTGGCAAGTGAAATGTTTAAAAGCAAAGCAAAGTGTTCTGCTTATGTACTGCCCTATAGCACTTAAAATGCTCTCTGAGAATTTTATAATTTAATTATGCAGCCTACACATTGCTCCCCACCCCCTCAGTTTCCCAGCTTCAGAAGGATGGAAGGCTGAGTGAACCCCAAGCCTGCTACCTGGGACTGAACCCAGGTTGTGAGCAGAGTTTTGGCTGCAGTGCTGCAGTTTAACCACTGTGCCACGAGGCTTCTAAAATGACAAGCAGCCTGTTCTGCCCCATTCATATGGAATGTGCCAGGGCAGGGAAGGCTGAGCAGGCAGTCTTCTGTCTAGCTCTTGGGCAGAATGCAACCTTCCATATGTAGTTAAGAATGCAGGTTCAAGCAACTCCCATTGTTGTTTTTGCTGTCTAGAGCTGCTGAGAGATTCAGTCAAGCAAAATCTGGGGGTGGAGTTTGCAGGTACCCACCCTTGGGCCAGATGGAATAGCCTCCTCTGATACGAGAAGGCTCCCTGAAAAGGTTTGCTTTACGGTTTCTCTCTCTCTCTCTCTATCCATTCTTTATGAAAATGACTTTGCACGGATTGATTTAAAACATATAAAGCCTAATAAACCTGCCGCCACCACTTCTTTCAGATGGTTCACGTCTATTTTCACAAATCTCTGCCTCCCTCTCCCCTCTCCTTCTCTGGTCCTTATCCAGAGGTGGTAGTCGGGAGGCCTCTCCTGCAGCCCCTGCTGTAGCCAAGCCAGACAGATATAGCTCTCTTAATCTTCTACAGACATCAGTCCTTCCAGCCACCTGATCTCGATGCTCCTTTTGGCCTCTCGGTGTTGTTTGGAAGCTGCCCATGCTTGGGGCTGCTATTCCTGGTGCCGTTACACCAGCCTTGGGACTGCGGGGTTTATCTTTCTCTTGCAGGGCACCTCTGTCGCGATGGGCCTCTGATTCTGAAAAGTAGTCGTGGCCCTAAATGAAAAGTTGGCTTTGTATTCTGTCCCCACGGTGTGTGCTATGTGTGTTTAAATTTAGGAAGGCACCCAATTGTACCATCAGATTTTAAAATGACTCTAACTTGAATTTCTTGAGGCTTTTTTCCTTCCATGGAGAAGCAGTGATTAAGAGCTCAATTTCTTGATGACGGAACCCAATCAGGCATCCTCCAGTTACGTTGGGTCCCAATTTGAATGGAAAACAAGTGAAATGAGAGGACTAGGTCGACACTTTTTTAAAAAAAAATGCTGTTGACAAAGGACAAACAAACAAAAAGTTGGTTCCAAGATTATAAATCGGGAGGTGACTCCAGTAAAAGACATATATTTTTCTAAGCCGTCAACAGGAAAAGTGGTGGTTTTTGTACAGGGTTTGCTAGGGGTGAGAGCTGAGGCCCTGAAACTGAGCCTCTTGCAGAGCTGGCAGCTGAGCTCTTGCAAAGCTTCCCTTGACTCTTACCAGCACTTAAAATTTAGAGAACTGGGTTTCCAGCTACGTATAATGCAATGTAATAACAATCATTGGCCATCAAGTCAAAAAGTCTTTTTTAGGAGAACTCTCAGGAGAAGGTGGCAAATACTGAGCTAATTCTAACTGAAGTTGGGGAAAGTTTCCTCATCCTTACAAATCCCCTTCTAATAATATTCTTTGTTTCTAGTCTCCAGGAAACCTAGCACCTGTTGTGTCCCCTGACTACAATCTCCAAACTCCAGTTTCTAATCTTAGAGAAGAAAAGAACCACAAAGTCAGCTGCATCACATTAAGGACGAGTCTCCTTGGAGAAAGAGAGACGAAAGGGTCCGAGGAGTCGGCTGGTGCCAGCCCAGAAGCCCAAGACCTGGATGGGGTGGCCGGTCTAGGCCAAGAAGACAAGCAGGATGCCTCTGTGGCTTCCCAGAATCCTCCATCTGTTTCCTTAGATGTCTCGCAGCCGATTGGGAAGGAAGATCTGCTTGTGAAAGGAGATGTGGGGCGGCATTCCCCACGTTTTGATAATGGTGAAATTGAGCACAGACCAACTCCAGGTCATAGGAGTGAAGAGCTGGTTACTCATGGATTACCTTTCCAGGAGGCTGTTCTTGAGGAGAGACCTACAGACCCGTTTGCTCGAGTTGTCCCTCAGATCGAAATAGTGGGTGAAGAAGAAATTGCTGAAGTGTCGCAGGACAACAAGCCTGGTTTAGAAACAGGATCAGGTCTGGAGGGCGAGAGGTTCCCGGCTGTGACAATCAGGCCATTGGTGCTCCCAGATGTCGCAGTGGAAACGTCATTTCCTGGCCACATTCCTCCAGCTATGATGCCCTCTCCAAGCCCAACAGCTCTCCAGGAACCACAGACACCAGCTCAGTTCTCCCCGGTCAAAGAGGGCTTTGCCGAGAGGAATCAGTCAGTGGCACATTTGGTGAAGGACGTCAGGAGGGAAACAGAAGCTCAGTCATCGGTAACGTCAATGGGTGGAGTTCCAGAGCAACCTATCCATAGAACTGCTGCAGAGGAAGTCTGTGTTGAAGAAAAAACCATGGGTCCTCCAGAGGTTGAAGGAGACGAACTAGAGGCTTTCCCTCTTGGCAAAAAGGCAGAAATCCAAATGCAGGAAAGGGAGGAAACAACTTCAGAAGGGCCTTCAGCACCAGAGGCGGCCATGGAGGAGGAGGAGGAGGAGGAAGAGGTGGTGCAGAAAGCACAGCAGCAAGGCCTTGTGTCCTCTCTAAAGAATTACTTGCTGCTCCTCTTAAAGATGAGCACAGAGCCAGATAAAAAGAAAGGCAAAGCAAAGCAAGAAGCCAAGGTTGTGGAGGAAACGAAGCCACCTTCTGCGATTCCAAAGCACGTTGCGGACGTGGGCATTGCTGGGCTAACCCCCAGGACATCCAGAAAGATCTTTGAGCGGGTGGAGACCAACCAGCTGTTCCAGAGCGCCGAGAGCCTGCAGCTGACCCCCAGGACTTCTCGGAAGCTGACGGGGATGATCAACCAAGAGCTATTAGCTTGCAAGGAGAGCCTCGTGGCTGAACCAGAAGCCCCTGCGTTGCCATGTGTGCCCTCCATTGTGGTAGGCAGTGCCTCTGCAGAGCTGGCCGGGCCCCCAGAGCCATCCCCAGAGATTTCTGGTGAAGCAGTGGCTGCCCTGCCTAGTGCCACCCCTCAGGAGTTGGCATTAGGGGCACGTCGTAAAATATTCCTACCCAAAGCCAAGCAGGCGGATGAGATGGAAGAAGGGATTGGCCTCGACGACACAGCTCCACGGGCCAAAAGGGAGAGTCCCACTGTGTCTCCGAAGCAGGGCCGCAGGAGCACGGCTCTCCTCCCAGCCCCTGGGACAGCTTCTCCACCTGCGGAGAGGCGCTCCCCGACCCAGGCCAGAAAGATGGCCACATTGGAAGTGCCCAAGATGTATGAAGAACCTGCAGAAGAAAGCAAGGAGGTGGTGGCAGAGGACTCTTTGATTTCCCCAGAGAACCTTCAAGGGATCCCACAGGAAGGTCAAGGAGGGGAAACCCGGAAAACAAATGACCCATTTAAAGGTGAGAGAGCACCCTTCTTCCAAGGATAGGTCATGGGATTTAAAAAATCGCTAAAAAGCGTGCTGCTTATATACCACCCTGTAGCACTTAAAGCACTCTCTGGGCAGTTTACAAGTAATTATGCAGGCTAAACTTTGCCCAACCACCCCAGCAAGCTGCGCACTCAATTTATCAACCTAGGAAGGCTGATTGAACCTCGAGTCGGCTACCTGGGATTGAACCCAGTTTGTGAGCAGAGTTTTAGCTACAGTACTGCAGTTTAACCATTGCACCCTGAGGCTGAGGATGGCTCTTCCCTTTAAGGCAGGAATAGGGGATCTCAGGAGGACCTAGAACCAAATCCAGCTTTTCTGCAGTCTCAGCCTGCCTTCTTTTGTAGGGTTCCCCCTCTTTTGTAGGGTTCCTCCCTGTTCCCTGGGGAAGGAAATGTCTCCTAGATACAATCAGTACGAACTTATGGCTAAACCATGCTGGTATTTTCAGTGCCACCTTGTTTCCTTTAAGAACTGATCTCGACCGTTGGAATGAAAGAGGTTTCCTGCTCTTCTCTTAGCGCTTGAGAGGCAGAGTCAAACTAGGCAGGGTTGTTCCCAGAGCCAACCTGGCTCTCAAGTTGTTGGCAGAGTTTCCTTCGGCTCCTGACCCCAAGCTGTGGACAGGGTGGGGGTTAGGTCCTTTCCCTTGGCAGCACCAGCATCCTTTCCCTCTTTCACAAGGTCCTCTCCTAGTCCTAGTGTGCAGATCTCAGATCCCTGTGTTACACAGAGTTTGAAAAATGACACGGTTGGGGTGTTGGTGTTGGACTACAGTCCCCCAAATCGCCAGTCAACATGGGCACTGTTGAGAGCTGTTGCTGGAAAACACATCTTCCAAGCTCTGATCCCTCTGGGGATGCATCATCTCCACTTCCTCCACTTTTTCCCCCTCCTGTAGCGCCGCAGGTAATTCGCAAAATCCGAGCAGAGCAGTTCTCAGATGCCTCTGGAAACCTGAAGCTGTGGTGCCAGTTCTTCAATATTTTGAGTGACTCTAAGCTGACCTGGTACAAGGATGAGGTGCCTGTGGCGGATGTCAGAAGAAGGTCAGTGGCATAGGGACGGCCCTTCTGGGTGGGAAGGGGGGTGGATAATGGTGGAAGAGAGATCTTCTGTGGGACTAGAGGTGGCTTGGCCCTGACCCGGCTTCAGGGCTCTTCTTGACGTTTTGATGACTCTCTTCCAGTGCTGGGGATGAAGGGCAGGCAGCCCTGGCCATCGTGCAGGTCTCCCAGAAGGACTGTGGGGTCTATCAGTGCGCCATCCAGAATGAATATGGCACAGATACCACTGACTTCCTGCTGAGTGCTGAAGGTGAGACCCAGCGATTGCTCCTCCTCATCCAGCAAGGCCTGCGGTTCTATCCCTTGCAAAGAGGGTGCTCAAACTCTTGCCATGCCTGATTTAATGCCCAAGTGCACCATGACCTGCTGGGCATCTTTCCCTGGCATGTGGTAATGCTTTTGCACTTGCTTGATAATAGCAGACCCAGCCAGGGGAACGTACACACCCAGGGCCTGAAGATGCATTACATAGAGCAGAGCACCTATTTCCTCTTCCCTTCCCTCCCTGCGTTCCTGCCTTCTTTTATTTTATTTTATCTTATACCTTTTCATCCCACCTTTCTCCTTAAAAAGCATGCAAGGTGGCTTACATTATTAAAAGACAATATTTAAAGCTAATAACAGTGAGTATACAAACACTAAAAAGGATTAAACAAATGCCACACTAGAAAGGGTAAAGAAAAGCAACACTAAAACACATTCAAAGCACGAGAGTACAACAATCCATTAAAAAAAAACCCTACAACCCACTCAGGCAGATGGGCACTGAGGGAAAGCTTGTCTGAAGAGAAAGGTCTTTGCCTGCTTGGGGAAGGACAGGAAAGATGGGGCCAGGCTGGCCTCCAGTGGGAGGGAGTTCCAGAGTCTGTGAGGAACCACCGAGAAGGCCTCCTCTGAACTTCTGGTGGCAGAAGAGTTTGCTAGAGAAAAGGGGAAACTGGGTAGCCTGGCAGGACTTCCAGCATGTAAACGGAGCATGTGCATGAATGAGGGTTGGTTCAAACTGAAGGTGCCTTTCCTCTCTCTGTGGTCTTCTCCTAGTTAAGTGGAAGCCCAGGACTGCAGTTTAAACGTGTGGTTTTTCTCTTTTCAGTCTTGTCGGGATTTATCTTCAAAGAAGAAATAGAAGGTAAATTGTGCCCAGGGGACAGTGTGGTGAGTCTGTGCCCCTCCAGGTACCGTGGCCAAATGCCGCAGCTGAGTCCCACAGGCTCTTGCAGGGGTGAAGCCCACCACCAAGAGGTCAGGAAGACCAAAAAGACAGGTTTCCCTCTCATGCTGAAGTTAGAAATCAGAAAGAGGAAAATGCTTTTTGTTTGGGGCAGAGCTATATCCTTCTGTCATTCTTAAATCTCTCTCTCTCTGCTTCTCTGTGAATGACTTCCTTCATCCTGACTCATCCTAGCAAGGTTCCCTTTGTAATGCACCTCTTAATCAGAAGTTCCTTCCTCAGTTGTCTCTCTTCCCCCAGACTCTTTCCGCAGTAGTGCTCCAAGGGTTTGATGGGGAGGCATTCTGCTTATCTGGTCTTGGGTCCCTTGGATTTACCACCTGATTTCATCAGCCGTTGTCCTTTCTTTCCTGGTTCTCCTTTATCTCCCCTGAGAGTTGGCCGCCTGATCTCC